GCAACTCTTCTTGCCAATTAATTTTACGATTTTTAGCACCTTTCTACACATTACTGTTACAAGATTTTTAGCAAACTTGTAAAATTCAAAGACACAACTTCATAACATCCTCAATTTTGGCATTACCAAACAAAGGTTTTGGACCTTGAGTAGACCAAGTAGCGGTGGCCAGCGCATTTTATCAAATAGTTTTGCAATGAACTAGCAGTGTTAGAACAGCTACCAAGTTCAGAAAAACATTCTGGGGATAATCTAACTAAAAAACGCACTGGCTGTAAAATTTAAATAATAACTATTTTATTGTTATCTTCAAACCAACACCTACTCACAGCTGCTGCGACATCACTTCAATGTTTCTTAACACTGGAAGATGATGATCAAAACCCAATCCAAAAAAGTCATTATATGAAATACTTTTGGTTCCTTTGGATGAATACAAGACTGTGTTTCTGGAATGGTAATTATTTGCACTTACCAACTTATCATGGAAAAAAGATAGATTAATAAATATTCAAAAAAACTAATAAATAAAAAATAACTATATAAAAATAAATAAATAAATAACCCGCACCTTTGCAGTTCGACCAAAAAAATAAAAAAGACAACAACATTTTGAAGCACCCGAAATGACAAGAAGCAGGCAAAGCATAAAACCCCTTCTGAAACCCCAAAACTGAACCTTTAATAAACCCTAGAGAGTGAATTAGAGAACCATGAGACGTACTCTATTGAATAATGTCTCTCTCTGTGCTCGCAATCGCCTTCTCTCCCCTCCAACCTGCAACCCTAATCCTAGCTCCTCACTCGTCCCACTCGCCGCTTCGACTCGGTCCCTACTCAGGCTTTTCTCGTCCGAAGACGACTCTTCCGCTGAAAGCTCCAATCCGTCTGCTGATTCGAGCGTGATCCCGACCAACAAGAAAGATGCCTCCGTTGAAGTCCAGGACATCAATAACAAAGATGACCCACCAAATATATATTTATATATTTTTCAAGTTTTCAATTACCTTCAAGCTTGACCCTCTGTCTTCATTTGGAACAAAAAAGAGGAGGCCAGACCTGCCCCGCCTAGGAGCCGCCTAGAACCGCCCAGGCCGCCTAGACCCGCCTAGAACCGCCCAGGCCGCCTAGGCTCCGCCTAGATCCGCCCAGGCCGCCTAACTCCCTTATAGCATCAGAGTTGTTATCTTAGTGGAGATTTCAATAGCTGAATGACACTTGATGGTTTTCGTAGAGAGAGTCCAATCCAATCCAATCAACGCAGCAGCCGAAACGAAAGAAAAAAAATCGAAGCTTGAGTTGAGAGAGAGAGGCTCAGAGTCTTTGAAGCTTGGAAGGGCTTGAAGAGAAGCCAAATGGCTGTGACTGCGAGTGCAAGCTTCGCGTGCGTTTCAAATATATTTAAAGAGTTTAGCCGCGCGGCTATACCTTTTAAATATTCGAATAAATTCAAAGAGTATAGCCGCTCGGCCATACCGTTAAAATAAGATATTTAAATAGTATAGGGGCTATACTATTTTGTCAATTTATTTTAAATACCGCTTTAGCTAATTAGGATAGAGTTATTTCTTCAATTATTTTATTTATACCAGTGATATTGAGAAATAAGAATTTAAATTCTTTCCAATACCTCCCATTTTAATTATTTCTAGCCACCAAGTTCTAACTCTTGTTCTCTTCAGAAAAACATTCTGGCGGATAATCTAACAAAAAAATGCACTGGCTGCAAAATTTAAATCATAACTATTTTATTGTTGTCTTGTAAGTTTCATCTCTGAAAGTAGACTGCATACATCAAGTGGTTTTCAGCTTAGAGAGCATGGTTGATTGACTGTGTTTGTGATTTGTATGTTTCTTAATTTGTTTGTGTATGAATGTAATTGCAGACAGGAGAGGCAGTGAACGCAAAAGCGTACCCTTTGGCCGATGCGCAGCTGACGATTACAATACTCGACCTGGTTCAACAGGCAGCTAACTACAAGCAGCTTAAAAAGGGCGCCAATGAAGGTGCGTTAAATGCTCATATTTCAATGCCATGGCTACCTGCTTCTGTTTTTATCTGTGCAGTCTCTCTTTTTAGAGTCAGAATTATATGGAGTTTAACATTTTTTTTATGGGGTTTTTATTTTTTTCAGCGACTAAGACCCTCAACAGGGGTATTTCTGAGTTCGTAGTGATGGCTTGTGACACTGAACCGATTGAGATTCTTCTTCACCTTCCCCTGTTGGCTGAAGATAAGGTACTATTCATCATTCCTGTAACATATCTATGGCACTGAAATTTTAGTGTCATAAATGCGTTAATTATTTGATTGCGACATGGTTTTTTTTTCTTCTTTCTATTGGATGATGGGAGAGTGTTGTGTTGTTTTTCTCATCCGAGGATGGTTCAATAAATTCAACTATTGCTGCTTTTCACAAAGACATATACTCGAGTTCTATTTTTATTTGCTCACCTTTTGTGTATTAATTGTTTCCTTCTACTCTCATTGTCAGTCCTATTATGATTCGTTATCATCTGTTAAGAGTTATTTACTGTAGTTTCCAAGTGTTTGATGTTTTACACGCAAAAGTGAAGTGAGAGAGAACTATTACCCCTTTGGTTGTGTTTGATTGCGTACTTGTTTTGTGTTATATAGTGGGACGGGTTGTGTTATATTTGACCCAAACCAGACCCGTTAGGTATTTACCCTAGTTGGTAGGATTGTGGTCTATGGCTGGACATAGATGCACCTAATTGCCTATTTGAAGGTTAGACCGTGTGCATCCCAACTGGTGCAAGCATTTTAGCAAGCAAGGTTTATTGGTTGCAGACATGAAAGACCATGCCCAACATAGTATTAAATATATGTTTATTTCTTCATGATTTTTTAGTTTATCATGTTGAAGCTTCAAAATCCTGTTGTGTTTGATTGCATTCTTGTTTTGTGTTATATTGTGGCACTGGTTGTGTTATATTTGACCCAAACCAGACCCGTTAGGTATTTACCGTAGTTGGTAGGATTGTGGTCTATGGCTGGACATAGATGCACCTAATTGCCTATTTGAAGGTTAGACCGTGTGCATCCCAACTGGTGCAAGCATTTTAGTAAGCAAGGCTTATTGGTTGCAGACATGAAAGACCATGCCCAACATAGTATTATATATATGTTTATTTCTTCATGATTTTTTAGTTTATCATGTTGAAGCTTCAAAATCCTTTACTTTTTACTTTGATGATTCTCCTAGTGATTTAAATCAATTTAAAGCACGTTACAAGTGTTTTATTTGAATTTGGCAGAATGTTCCCTACGTTTTTGTCCCTTCGAAGCAAGCACTTGGCCGAGCCTGTGGTGTCACAAGACCTGTCATTGCGTGTTCTGTGACTTCCAATGAGGGAAGTCAATTGAAGTCGCAAATACAACAGCTCAAGGTACTCTTCGTTCTAGTTTTAATCTACAATTTATGTTTCAGGTTTCCTTAGTGCTTGGATTTGGTCCTACATTCTGAACATTTTATGTGTGAACTGCAGGATGCCATTGAGAAACTTCTTATCTAAGCTATCTTGGAATGCATATTCGGTGTGATGGGCCTCTTCGGACTGTAATAGTGGGAGCCTTCAGAGGCATTGACTAGGAAATGCATATTCAGTGTGATGGAGTTGTTGTGTTACTAGGAAATCTTTTGATGTTTGATTTGTATTAAATTTTCTGTTTTTATAAACTTCGAGGCAAGTACTACTACTAAGAAGTACTAAGAAGAATACCTGCACGACCATTTGCAGAAAATTCATCATGCAAGTAATTGAGCTTGAAATCCACCCACTATTAGCACATATATATCTATCATGGCCTGAAGTTTTTATTCGAAAAACATATAGTTGAAGACAACTCTGACCTGAAATAGCAGATTGGCTTTGACATGTGGATTATCTAAGCAGTCCTTATCCACTTTATATCAAACTCCGGTTCAGTATTGTCCAAGCCATAGTAAGTTGGATTAAACATCTGTAGAAAACTATGCTCATGTAAGATTTTGTAATCAAAACAAAAAAAACCGAGGGCTTTTAACTTGTGTCTTCACCGCATTTAAGTACAAGAGGATCATTGTCACAGCAGCAATGCA